ATTCACACTTTTTCATATTTAAAAAAATTAAAATTAAAAGAAAAATCAGATAATGGCCTATTTTTATGGAACACAACTACCCATTATCTGTTTTAATTCTAAAATAAATTTTAATTTTTTTTTAAAAAAGCCTCTCCCAGGCACGGAAGTGCGTCCTCGGCTATACTCGGTTTTTAATTTTTTTTTCAAATAGTATAGCCGTGCGGCTTTACTGTTTTTGACACGTGGCTCCTAGGCGCTAGTTGGGTCCTTTTTTCACTATATATAAATAGTCCAGCCGCGCGGCTATACCCGGTTTTTAAATGTTTTTTAAAAATGGTATAGCCGCCCGGCTATACGCGGTTTTATTAATGTTTCAAAAAGTAGTATAGCCGCTCGGCCATACGTATTTCGACATGTGGCGCCCAGTCGCTGGGCGCGTCCTCTTTTTGTTTTTCATAAATAGTATAGCCGGGCGGCCTTACGCGATTTTTTATTTTTTATATTTTTTAAAATAGTATAACCGTGCGACGTTACCTTTTTTTTTTTTTTTTTGTTTAATTTTTTTTTAATAAATAGTATAGCAACTTCTCATGAAAGGTTATCTAGATGTCCTTTTTAAAATTAGAAAATCAAATTAAACCTATCTTTTTCCAGTAGTTGCAACTGCTCTTGAAATGTTATCTGGATGTCTTTAAATAGGCAATCCTATTACAGAAGTGGGCACTAATAATCACTCACTATTTGAGAGAGAGAATAAATACAGTTCACCAGAGTTTAAATAGGCAATCCCATTGCATTTGCAAGCCTCTATCAGTCAGTTTACTTCCCTTGCTTATTTTATATTTGCTGTATAATTTTGTTAATTTACAGTTTGATTCATATTATAATCTATTGGAATAATTTAAGTTGTATTTAAATTATGTTATCATACCTTTTGGTGTCAAAATGGTGGTTTGTGTGGTCAATGCTGCTGCTATATATGATCGATCAAAAAATATCAGAATTGAGAATATGCAATAAACCCTCAAAGGACCAAGTCGAAGAGGCTTCCACTTTGAGTGGAGGTCAGCCATGCAGGGAAAAAAAAGGTCTTTCTCCAATGGCAGTATAAACCAATGAACCCAATAATGGTAAGAGATCTAAACAAGTAGTCCGAATGGTTATTTCGAAACTAAAACATAAACACTTATGGAATGGTATCAAAGAGTTGTCTTTGTTCACTTTTCCGGTCTTCCTTAAAGACAATTGCAGCCTTGGAAATCATCTTGGATTTCTCCAAATTTTGAGGTGAACAAATTATGACAAATTTCGTCAATTTCTGAGCACACTCGAGTATATACCTTGCAAATTCAACTTCATTGAACTCATCTAAGAGGTCTGTGGTCAAACTCTCCAGTTGATTAATAAATGCAAGGTTGTGCAGTTTCCAGTATAAAAATCCATATATATGGAAAGACAGTAAATCAAAAACCGGATCAGTGATGAAGATTAATTCCAAAAGCAAACAAAAACTAAATATAAATTAAAGGTAAAGGAAGTTGAGGTTCCACCCCAAAACCAATTGGCAATGGTTTGTTAGTTTTCCAATGTGAGACATTTTTCACTTTCACATTCTCACAAAAGGCATGCATTATACTCAAATGCTTAGAGAATCCCTAATTCTAGAAATCATGAGAGAGAGAGAGAGAGAGAGAGTATTTTTTTGGGGGTTTTGTTAGAGGTTTGAGAGAAGCAAATAGTAACACAAACTTCAACTTGCATATGATGTAGGGTCATGAAAACGTTGGCAACGCCTAAGTCATACAACTTAGGCATCCTTCTAAAAAGAGAGACCATTGGAGGGACTACATCGTCACTTATGCTCCCAATATCTATACGCAAACGACGAACATTCTCGAATGAAACTGGCATGGACCCTTCCAGCTTGAACATAACCTGCAATGTTGTGTAGGCAAAATCTCTATCGTGTTTCTCAATTTAAACTTCAGATAAATAATAATTAAAAATAAGTAAATTCTCTCAGGTTCTTTCTACTATACCTTTTATGATGGCTAGGGGTGAAGTGAAGATGGGGTCGGGATTAAGGTGGGCTGGGTTTTCAAAGTTTTTTTTAAAATTAAAATTAAAATTAATTTTTTTTTTAGGAGTCCCACAGTAGACACATCATCATTTAACATTTGACCAAAGTCAACTTAACGGAAGGTTTAAATTGGTTAGATTTGAAAACCATTAGGTGTAAATTGATGAAATTGAAACACGGGGGCCCATATTGAGAATGACCCCAAACATCGAAGGGGTGTTTTGTCGTTAGCCCTATAAATATATATTTTTCACCTAAGTAACTTGTAAAAAAGAAAATTGGCAAAACTTTATTTTATAACTAATGTATAATATAAGATACTATATGATGAGTGATGAAAAAAAACTAGTATATAATAATATAAGGAATATAATAGAAAAAAAAAAATTTGACATAGTGATACGAAGCATAATAAGACAAGTAGGGGCTAGAAACTAAGGTGAAAAGGGAAAAATTTTGCTTTTCCAACGGTGTTTAATAAATAGCCATTGAATTTTTTTTAGGGTTTGAGGTGTTCTGGAATTATCGTAAAGTGGTAAGGGTATTTTTGGAAGGTAGTAAGGGAAAAAAGGAATGGGAATCAGATCAACTACTCCCCCTAGTTGATTTAATTCCTAATTCTGAGGGGATGTGATTACGGATTTTGAGGTAGGGCCCACACAATTTTCATTCATGATTGCAAGTAAATGCACGGGAAGTAAGGAATGGAAATCATTCCCTTTCTTCCCATACCCATTACTTATACGTAAACATGAGAGCTTTCTCCAACGTTCACCGTTTTGCAACTATTAATCTGTATTGTTACATATAATCTTTTGTTTAGACAACATTTTCCAATATTAAAGAAAACAAAACTAGTTAAGTTCTACGTACATACTATAGTTTTTAAGTGCATCACACATTTCTACATTTTTATATGGTTGTGAGGTTGTATACCCTTTTTTGCGTTCCAAAATGATACCTTTTTCAATTTTTGTCAAAAATGGACAATTATGAAGTTGAAGTTCATAGTGTGAAAAAGAAGGTTAGTGTTGTTGCTGATGTTGCCGTGATCGATCAAGAAAGATCACAATTGAGAAAATTGATGCAGAGGAAAGTTATGGGTTTTGATATAAAGGTTGACAAACAATGATCATCATGTTTCAATGTTGCGGCTTACTAGTACTTGTGCTGCAAGTCGTTGCTTGATCATCCTAAAGCTTCGAACTTTGTTCAATTCTTACCCCCAAAGATTCCAAGTCATACTGTTTCACAAAAGAAGAAGACAACGTTGAAAATGGTTTGCATCCATGTTTGAGACCCCAATTCCACTTACGAGTCTTGTAGCGATGAAGAAAATAACCTAGACTTGGAGGAGTTTATAATAATATTCCATGCTGATGCTTGTATTTGATTTATATCCTAGACTTGGATGAAAAGGCTTGAAGAAGCATAATGTGCCTATTATATACTTGTGCCAATTTTTGACATTCTTTTCTTCATACAGGAACTTGGATTGAAGGTGAAAGTTATATAATTAACCAAGCCAAGAGAGTATATGTACATATGAACTTATATCCAATCAATCTTCGTATTTATTGCATACTAAACTTTTGGCTCGCCATGACTCTATTTGTGATATTCCTATCTATTATTTTGGAGATTTATAATTCTTCCATTTTAATGGATGGAATTTCAATGAATTAAGCATCACTAACTTACGCTCTAATCCGAGTAGCATGGGACACGTGGAATCCCGTGTGAATCAGCAAAGACCATCTTGCAAGTCAAAGTGGTGGTAGTGTGGTCGATGATGCTTGCTGTGGTCGATCAAAAAAATCAGAATTGAGAATGTTGATGCAAAGGAATGTTATGGAGGGTTTTTTAAAGTTGACAATAATCATCGTGCTTCAATGCACATCAAAAAAGGATACAAATCCTCAAAGGACCAAGTCGAAGAGGCTTCCACCAGAAGCAAGCCTGATTCAAATATTGATATCTACTATTTAGCATTATTGTCCAACCCGGATATGTACCTCTAAGATTTAAGTGCATCATGCATGATGAATTCCTTTTAACATGCAATTGTGATGCTATAAAATGTCACGTCGAAACTGTTTATGCAAAATGTTTGTTTATCCATGTTATAAATTTTTTTACAAGTTTCAAAATGAAAATGGGTGTACATTTCTATATTTATGTATTGAGATATTGGAGAAAATTAAAATATAGAAGTAATAATGAAGAAGTGTACATGTATATGTTTGTAGTTCAGATTTGGATTCGACAGAGCAACCCTCGCCTGCAGCAGCAGGGGCTGTGATCGCCACACCAGCTCCAATAGCAGTAGCAGGGGCTGTGATCGCCACACCAGCTCCAATAGCAGTAGCAGGGGCTGTGATCGCCACACTAGCTCCAATAGCAGCAGGCATCCCCAAAAAGGAGAGAACCAAAAGAGATATCTTGTTGATGCTCCATATCAGAAGAAAGTGAAACAAATTCTCAGATCCAGACTATGTCCCAACAACTTCCCGGTCTTCGTCTTTTGGAAATTCAAATCATGGACGCTAGATAGATTCAATTTTGGAATTTACAGGGTTTTTCCCAAATTGTGTCTTAGCCGAATAAAGCCCAATATAACCAGTTTTGTCTTCTTCTGTTGTATTAGGTTTTTATTTCTATTTTTTTTAATAATTATATATATATTCTTTTTAAAGTGTGGGTCATTTAGGGGCTGGTTAGGGATTCAAATCAAAACCTCAACCTTCCATCTTGAAAATATTTTAAGCGTTTTAAGGAGAGAGAGAGAACGAAGAAAGAAGCTCTCTCTTCCAAGGCAGTACAAACCAAAGAACCCAATAATACCAAGTCTAAACGAGTTGTCCCAATTAGTGGTTCTATCAAACTTCACAATAAGGTTTCGGTACTAAAAAATAAACTTATAACTTCTGCAAAACAATTAAAAGAGCAGTCTTCGTTCACTTTTTGGTCTTTCCTTAAAGACAATTGCAGACTTGGAAATCATCTTGCATTTCTCTAATTTCAGCTTAACTTCCTCCAAATTTTGAGCTGAACAAATTATGACACCTTTCTTCAATTTCTGAGCACACTCGAGTACGTAGCTTGCTAATTCAACTACATTGTTCCAGTCTAAAATCTCTATGGTGAAGAATTCAAGTCGATTAATAAATCCAAGGTTTTGCAGTTTCCAGTATCCTATATCAAATCTGCCTTTCTGGAAAGACATGAAATCAAAAACCGGATTAGTCGAAGATTAATTCCAAAAATAGAAAAAAGGGAAAATATTAAAACTAAATATAAAGAAAAGGACATACAGGAGAGAGAGCACAATCTTTTTTGGGTTTTGTTACATGTGTGGGAGAGAAGCAAAAAGCAAGACAAACTTCAACTTACATTAGATTCAAGTTCATGAAAAGGTGGGCAACGCTTTATGTATAAGGTACGCAAGTAAGGCATTCCTCTAAGAACAGAGACCATTGAAGGGACTATCTCGTCAATTACGCACCCAATATTCATACGCAAACTTCGAACATTGTTGAATGAAACTGGCATGGACCCTTCCAGCTTGAACATAACCTGCAATTTTGTTCATCTTTGTCAATTTAAACTTCACGTAAATAATAATTCAAAATAAGTAAATTCTCGATCGGGTTCTTTTTGCTGTACCTTAACGGCAGCTTCATTTAGAATAAGAACTCCATTGATTCTTAAACCGTGAAAGACTTCAGATAAGGGTTCAAACTCATCTACTCTAGTCTCCAAATCTATCAAAGTACTTTTGAACTTTTGAGTTTTTTCGAGAGAAACTTTGCCTACGGAATCAAAATAAACCTCAGCAGATTCTAAACTATGAAACTTTCTGAGATTTGGATGATTCATCAAATTCCATGCCCACCACAACTTTTTAAGATTTGGTGCAAAAATATTCAACGATGTAATGCTGCGTGAATCAGGACATAAGGAGATACTTAACCGTTGAAGATTTTCACAGGAGATGTTAAGTGTGTCAAGATCAGGTTGGGGATAAGAAAGACTTAACCTCTCCAAAGAAGAGCTTTCAATATTGAGATTTTTAATCATATAAGGATGGTCAAGACCTAATTTCCGGATGCATTTGCAAGAACATGAGATCCATTTGAAAAACCCCTCATCATCTGCTATAACAACATTCAACAACTCCAAGTCTTTGAGATTAGAGGAAATAGATGAGGAGGATGAGGGGGCTCTAAGAATCGCACGGTTCGTGTAGACCGACAGAGACTTCAAAGATTCACAAAGAAAGATGGAAGACGGAAAATTCAGATTGGGTTCACCTAGTCCAAGGAGATTAAGCTCAAGCTGTTCAACGTTACATCTCACCGCCTTCTGGACGCACGACATCACGCGATAGTAGACATCAAGACAGCTGCATGATGATGATGAACTTTGGTTCTTCTTTGGAGGGGGAAAATGCCAATCAAAACGGAAGCGCTGTATCTTATGATCCGCACGAAGCAAAAGGAACCTTTCCAGAATATTCAACAACCTCTGCTTGCTACCACACATATCGGCACCCGCTATGCAGTTATATTCATTGAAATTCAAAACCGGAGATGAAAGACAAAGTTCTCTCCAACATTTGGACACATAACTGAGTCGAGCAAGGTCAGCCATGGTAAGGAACGAAAGAATGACGTGGGAGATTTGGTCAGGAAGATTGCTAAATCTGTCTGTCATTCTCCCTCTGCGGCCTCCTTCACCTTCACAACTTGCAGCAGCCACGAACTTGCGCTTTTGACGTTCCATGAGAGAAGAACCCTAATTTTGAGCCAAGCTAGGGTCTCGGCGTGTGCGGGACTTTCTGTTCTTATGGTGCGAGGGTTTGGTTTGGTGTGAAAAACGGGCCGGGCCTATTATAACCAATTGCACCTCCAAAACAATTATAAGTTATAACCAATATATTTTTTTCTTTCAGTTTTTGGTGATGTAACTTCTTGTAGAATCAATGTAAAGATAAACTTTCTTAAAATAAAAAAAAGTGACTTGAATCTTTACTAGTCATATTTTCAATGAAGAGAGGCTTCACCTAGAAAAGAAAAAGGGCTTTCAAAACCGTATTTCAAAGCTTATTTTTTTATTTCTAGTCTTTCTTTTTTTTCGGGTGGATTTATTCTATAACGTTCGCTAGTTTGCAACTATTGAACTTTTTTTTTTAATTTTTTAATTTTTTAATTTAATTTTTTATACACACAATATTTTGTTTAGACTGCAATTTCCGGCTTAAGGGATTTGTTTGATCTTTTAGGGTTCATGCCAGAAGACAAGAAGACTGACAAGCTGACCTCTCATCAAGATCAAGCATGCTGCTTATCAGGGTTCATACTCTGTTTATTTACAAGAGAACCCTTAAATCGCAATAAACTCGCCAAACTGATGAGCATATATACAGACATCTTCATCATGCTTGAGTTACGTACGTGGCATAATTTATCCTAGAATGATAGCTCTCGCAGTTTCTGCTTAAATTGGACACTTAGGAAATATTGAAGTTTAAAGGTTAGGGTGGTGGATAATGGTACTTTGATTGATCAGAACAACTGAGAAATTCGCCACTGCAAAGCCCTATTTCAGGAACAAATTTGATGTACATTATTACCTTTTTTAAAATGGTGGGCATCAAGTCAATGGACACGTGTATAACATTTCTATGAGATAATATGAGTGGATGACCTAGTTCATATTGGAGCTTCTCCAATAAAGAATTTTGTTGATAATTAGTAAGAGTTCCAATCATGTATCGATGTTTTCAATTTGTATCCATTGACCAATAATTGACAATTACGTTTGTGTTCTCTTGTGTGCAATGTACATGCCTCATTTAATAGTTGTTTGATAAATTCTCTTACATTAATTAGTAGATACAAACACGTGGGCTAAATTGGCCAAATTAAGAACACATGAACTAATAAGTTGGCCGAATAGGTAAACTACAAGGACCATTTTGACATTAAGCTCCATACATACTAATATAAATAACTTTTTTGGGTTGGAAGATAAATACAAGATATGAGATTGATCAATATAATGTTTTTTTTCCAAATTAATGACTTGACTTTCCACATCCCTATGTACATATCGAGTAGAGGTCTTCAATTAGCATGGCCTGGATTCATATAATCACCAAAATCTATGTGATAATGTGATTAACCCAACCACATTCGTCTACATACCATGTACTACTTTGATGCAATTGAATTCTCCAATTCACGAAACTCGGCCTATATATTTGAACACTCTTCTTGAATTTGCTTGTGCCTTCCTCTCTATTTTATTTACTAGAATTACTTGGAATAGTATTTCAGCTTGATGCCTTTCCATATCCATATCCTATCAAAGTCCTGTTGTGGGACTTGATGTTAAGATCCTAAATCTGGCCGTGCCAAATTGTTGATTCTCTGTGTTGGAAGTGGTTGCTTGATGATCCCAATTCGTCACACAGATTTGGCAGCTACGATACTGAGGAAACAGAGTCTCCCAAAGTTAGATCTCTATGAATTGGCAGGTGAAGTTGGTCTTGATCTTAAGCCACTGAGCAGGGCTTCTCCTGACTTGGATGCTGATATTTTCTGTGCCTAGTTTTTTTCTGAGGAAGGCGTTAAGTATGCAATTCATAATTTTCATGCTTCCTATCATGTTGGGTACAAGCTTGTGGGCATGCTTTAGATTCAGCATAGTTGGTTTTCTATTGAGGTTTTCTATATATACCCTAATGGTCTAAGGCTATGTTTATGCAATTTGTGATTTTTATGCTTCCCATATTGTTGGGAACAAGCTCTTGGTTATGCTTTAAATTTAAAGGCGAGGGATATTATGTTTTTGTGCCATTTGGTTTGATGAATGTATTTTGTATGTAAATGGTATAGCCACTTAGCTATACTATTTAATTAAAAAAAAATTAAGAAAAAAGGAACCTCTTTTTTTTTTTTTTTCAAGTTGCATTAGTTTATATTTTATAAATATTAATTTGGAATAGCCGCACGGCTATACAAATAAAATACGTACGTGTTTTATTTGGGAAAATTTTGGCAAATTACAACTTAAAAGTTCGGTCACTATATAATATTTTAATATAATTTATTTAAATTTTTTAATATATATTATTTGTATTTAATAATATGTTAGAATAATGTGTATAATATGTGAATTTTTTTTGTGCATTATTGAAAATTGTGTAAAAAAATGTATTAAAAATGAAAAATATGTATGTACATGTTCAGTAGGAGTATTGTCCGTTTGCTTTTTAAAAAGGGAGCTGATTTTCCCACTCCCCTTTTCTCCACTTACACTCCCTTCTGTTTTTTAAAATTTTTTAATCAATTTTGTTTTTTTTATATTCTCTTTTTCCTACTCTACCCTTACCATTCATTAGGAAAATTAAATCATAAATCAAAAATCAAAAGAAAAGAAGATATCTCTCTCTCTCCTCCTAGCCTCCTCCAGCCCGATTGCTACCTCCAGCCCAACTCAGCCACCCAGCCATCCTAACCATCAACTACCCAAACTCAACATCAATTCACCCCCACCCACACCCACCTTCCCAGACCCCTAATCTTGCAACCAAACTGCGATCCCAGCCCCACACCCCAATCTCACTCACATCACTCATACTCAAAACAAATAATCAAACCTACAACTAGAAAATTTCATATCAATTCCAATAAACAAATTAAATTGAACCCAACCCATCCATCTTTAAATGATTTCTGAGAGTAAGAGCGACATGGACCGAGAGAGAGAGTGCACGAGAGAATCATCCCCACCCCGACGCATCCATCTCCAATAGATCGTCGGTGTTGAAGGCCAGATCTAATGGGGTCGGGGTTTAGAGTGACATGCTGGGTTTTGGGGTTGAATCTGGTATTGTGCCTTCGTATCAAGTGATGTGAAGGTGCCGGTGGTGGTGCTGGTGCTGGTGCTGGGTTCACCGAAGGAGGAGGGGGGTGGGGTGTCTTGATAAATTTTGGAGAGAGAGAGAGAGAGAGAGAGAGAGAGAGGGGTTAGATGGATGGGGCTGGGGGAGGCTGGCCAGTGCAGCTGTGTTTTGGGGGTTGGTGATTGCTTAGGATGGAAATGCCGTCAGGATTAAAGGGTGGGGTTGGGGTTTTTTGGTTTAGGGCTGGATGAGGCTAGGAGGCGAGAGAGAGATATATTTTCTTTTCTTTTGATTTTTGATTTATTATTTAACTTTCCTAATGAATGGTAAGGGTAGAGTAGGAAAAAGAGAATATAAAAAAAAACAAAATTGATTAAAAAGTTTTAAAAAACAGAAGGGAGTGTAAGTGGAGAAAAGGGGAGTGGGAAAATCAGCTCCCTTTAAAAAAACATGACTTTTACCAACTCTTTAAGACATATACAAAGCACGGATGTATTATTGAAAAATAGGTATGTACATGTAAAATATAGAATTAAACGTAAAAGTGCTAAATTAATACATGTAATAACTCTGAAAAAGTAAAAAAATCAAAAGGGAACAATAGAGACTCGGGTAATGGTCTAATAGTAATGGATAATGCTATAAACTTCTCTTATTGACAAACAAAACTCGGGGAAAAAATATAAAAGAAAATGAGTATATATATAGGAGTATAGCCGAGCGGCCATACTATTTCTTAAAAAAAAAAATTAGAAAAATACCGCGTATAGCCACTCGGCTATACTATTTCTTTAAAAACATTAGAAAAATATCGAGTACCGCCGCGCAGCTATACTATACAAGTAAAAAACATTAGAAAAACCTGAGTATAGCCGCGCGGCTATACTATTTATAATTTAAAATTTTGAAGAAAACCCTAGTATAGCCGCTCGGCTTTCTTTACAAAATTAGGAAAAAACAAAAGGCGTATAGCCGACCGGCTGTACTATTTCTTTAAAAAAAAAATTAGAAAAACCGAGTATAGCTTCTCAGATTTGTTTCTTGTTCTTTTGTTTTTCCCCCTGTTCGTTGACCACCAACACCACCACTGATGCCTATTGCAAGTTAAATTTCTCAAGAAACTCAAACTTGAAATGTGCAAATTGGCAGATTTGAGATGTGAAGTTGGTCTAAGCCAGCCACACCACTAGGTATAGGGGAGGAACTGTAGTTGGGCCTTGTTTGAAACCTAATTGTAATTGGACTGCCAAGTTTTTCCAAAGGAGGATATCAAGTGTGCAATTCATGATGTTTACAAATGATGGAATGGAATAGCACCACTCTCATCAATCAGTCGTATCGTCACAAATCCCTCACTGTTCTTCCACTTTTTTTTTCTTCCTCATTCCCTCGTGACCATCACTATTGACCATCACAATGGCCTATTGCAGTTAATTAACATCAATGACCAAAAAGCTCATTGACAAAAAATGAAGATGCTCATTAACCTCATAACTTCACCATCACTATATATAACCAGTGTCTCTTTGGGGTGTGTGAGAACATTGACCATCAATACAATGAGAACGTGGAAGGTCTTTTGATTTTTCCACTGCCCAATATACAAGTAAAAAAGTTAACCAAACTCAGTCTATATATATTTTGAACATCTTCTTGTTGGCTCATCTAATCTTGTTTCGTTTCAAAATGATCCCCTTCAGTTTCCTGTCAAAAATGCGTCCATACGAAGTTGAAGTTCATGGCGTTAAAGTGGAGGTAAGTATTGCGTCCTGCAATGCTCATTTCATAGAGGACAAGGTATCTGAACTAATGACGTCGTTGCAAAAGCGTATATTATGGGACTTAGTCTTAAGGCTACTTTAAATGGCTATCC